ATTAGGAATTAAATATATGGTCTCATATATTAAAACTGTTGAAGAGACCATCACGGTGCTATATTATGGTCTCATGCATCAAAAGTATGGCGGGGTATCAGGTGCAGAAATGAGTTCATAATTAATGACCCTGAACACCCTCAGCAAAGTTCAAGTCTCTACGATCACGGGAAGTACTAGGTGTACGAAAGTGCATCAGGAATTAAATATGCTCTCATATATTAAAACTGTTGAAGAGACCACCATCAAAAGTTATTGACTGTTTTGTCTGAAATTTGGCGCCAGTTCATAATTAGCGACCCTGAACACCCTCAGCAAATTTCAAGTCTCTACGATCACGGGAAGTACAAAGTGTATGAAAGTGCATTAGCAATTAAATGTATGGTCTCATGTATTAAAACTATGAAAGAGACCTCCAAGGTGCTATATGATGGTCTCATGTATTAAAATTGTTAAAGAGACCATTGAGGTATACGACATGGTGGCATGCATTAAAAATAGTATAGAGATCACCATCGAATTATGGAAGCCTATAACTACCATTCATAATTTATACTTTTCGACTCTTCAGAATGCGAAAGTCGAAAAGTCGAAAAGTAAAGTTACGACAAAATGTGAGGCGACAACACGCTATACAAGCCAAAATCAACACGAAAATAGGAAATTAAGAAATAACACACGGCGATAATAGCGCCCCTCGTTTTTTCCTAATTTCTTATTTTCGACTTGCATTTTGGCTGGTATACCGTCTTGTCGACTTTGTCATATTTTTGTATTTATTGATGTCAGTAAGAAGGCACCAACACGCATACCAAGCCAAAATGCAACTCGGAAAGTAGAAATTAGGAAATTAACACACTGCGCAATTACCGACTTATCATTTTGGCTTGCTGTCGTACTGTCGACTTTTCGACTTTCACCTCGGAAGTTGTTGTAGTCTAAATTTTCCAGGTCGCATTTAAATACATGCAATTTGCGTTAAGATAAAGTCTAGTATTGAAGGCGAATTAGCGACCTATGATTTTGGCTTGCTGTCGTGCTGTCGACTTTTCACCTCGGAAGTTGATGTAGTCTCTACACCTGGAACACCCTCAGGTGTACGAAAGCGCATTGAAGTCAACATTTACTTTTACGTCATAATTGTTGTATTTTAGAACTTGTTGTGGACGTATGCAAAGAATCTCGTTTGAAGGTAAATAATGAACAAAAATTTCAAAATACTTTTGAAATGATATTTTACAAGATTTTTGGTGTCAAAAATTCACTTATAACCTCTACTTTCGATCTACTGGGGGGATTATTGATAAATCTTTTGAGCATGCACTAACAGAATTTCTAAGAAAACTCATTGTTTTTGGCATTTCCATGGATACTAGACAAACCAAAAATTGTCCAGTCGCTGTTTTGGACTTGCAGTTAGCATTGTTCATGCCAAATTTGATGAAAATCCTTGCAGGCATAACTGAGAAAATTCGACTTTTGTTGTCTTCAATTCAACACCCTTTATTATCATGCTTTTGGGCCAAGTTTGGAACCTAGATGGTAAATAAAATTGGTATTCTTTTTGTGATTTATATGTAGTTTATACCCCCAAATAACGAAAAAATGTCATATCTTATCCACAAAAATTACAGTGCTAGCTTTAAAATTTGCATTTTAGACTGCTCCACTCCCTTAAACTATTGGAATTCGCATTTAATCACTGAAATTCACATTGAAAACATATAAACACTGGAATTCACTTTCAAAATATCGGAAATCGCACTTGCATTAATATTAATACTAGAATGTATCTGTTGTAAGAAATTAAAAGAAATAATAAAAAAAACCCCGATATTTCCAGATGGTCCACTCGGTAAAGACAATATGATTAGAATGCAGCAGTATTCCATGTAAAATGTCAAACCAAATATTTCTTGAATGTGGAGCAAATCGTTCTTAGTGTAGATGAGCTAAGTATATTCGAAAATTAACTCGGTAATAATAATCCAATCAAATAAAGTCTCATACTGCTTACTCCTTAAATCAACACCTGATGTGTTGACGTGTTCAGTATTTATTCTAATAATTAATCTGCAGTGGATATGAAGTTCAGATTTATTTTCAACCTGTTTGTTGACATGGCCCATTTGTTGATTGTCTCTATCAGACAGGAAATTACCACACTACACACAAAATAAAGACGGCAGCGCCTGTATGTGGGCTACTCCCGGGCATAAAATGATATAAATGGTTCGATCGCATTTACCTATACACATCACTTGCAATTATTTCTATCATCATTGTCTTTAATATCTTTATCAATAGTCATGGCTACTTGTAGAAAGATTAAATACTCTAGTAGGTCCTTATTGGCCTTGCGGTGTGTGCAGGCGAGATTGTGAAAAGATTAAAAGTATCTTGTGGTGTAAGGTTTCATTGTGATTGTGAAAATTTGACTAAAGTTGGAGTTTACATTTTTTCGCCAATATTCCTCTATTCTCTTTACTTGCTCGTCCTATTATTTTGGTGGTACATCAAGTGATACATATTGTTATTCATCTGATATTAGATTGTCCAAGGTCATGCTACCAATTGTTGTAGATGTATCTTATACCTTGGTGTTTAAGTGCTTTGCGCCTTTGGCGCCCGCAACATTCGGCTTCTCCTCCTGTGCCCCCCACCCCCTATCCAAGATTTCTGGATGCGCCCTTGCATTGTAGAGTCAATGCAGGGTAAATTAGACTATTAGACCGGAGGCTCAGTGCAGAGGGGCGGGGTGTTTGTGTGTGTCCATTCTCAATGTGAATTCCAGTGATTTATTATTAATGCAAAATATTATAAATAGGAAGCGCAGTGGACGCTTACGGCTAGCTCCCGGATCCATTCACTTTTTTTTTAATTGTCTTTATGTTTGTGTTTTCCTGAGTATGATGTCCTGTCCGTGTAGGGGAGACCGGGGCACATTGAACCAATTTTTTCACATACATGGTTGTCCTCCTTCCATATCAAATGTTTTTATTAGAAGATCTCTTTACTTTATTGTATTGTTTGAAGACATATCATAGTTGCTATTGTGTATCAGATTCAATTCAATTAATTTTTAACTTTTTTTAAAAAACACATTTTAATCCACTTGACCGTAATTGTTCAATGTACCCTGCTGTACAAAATAGTCGGGGCAGGTTTAACCACATAATGGGGCACATTGAACAGTGGTAAAAATTCCATGTTAAACATAGATCTGAATTTGGATCATAAACCTAGTCACTTGTTTCGTAGTGATCTAATGAATCTGCAAACAATCAATGTTTAGTTAAGAACAAAATATCCACAGATTTGACATCCGTGCAACGATCGATACAAGCAGGAGTCTGGATTCCCTAGGCTCCTACAAATCGCCGTAAATTGCACTTAAGTTGGCAGTTTGGTGGGATAGTGGGATCCCAGTCAACTTTTGCAGTGAATCAAACCAACATTTTCCAATATTCTGTCTAAATTTGGACAGCCTGATTTGCTGACAAGCGACTCTTAGTCAGGGAGACCCATTGCGCCCCTGTATGTCACAGCCAAGTTTCGAACACTGCTCCCATGAAGTTTTAATTCCTTTTATATGACAGGCCTACAGAGTTGGATCAATTGATATTCTAATATTGTTTTTATTTTCAAAGATATTACAAATTATCAAATGATATATAAACTATAATGCACTGGGGTACAATGAACCAGTGGTTCAACGTACCCCATTGACAGTGGTTCAATTCAATCTGCCACATCACAGTTTAATGATCAAAATTTAAAAAAATTCAAAATGGATCAAGCCCTTATTTATCTGGATTGACAGTGGTTCAATCTGCCCCATCACAGTTTCATGATCAAAATTTTAAAAAAAATTCAATATACCCTCAATGGATAAAAGCCCCTGTTTATCTGGATTGTAGATTAGACATATATGAACTGATTTTAAGTACAATAATTCCCTAGACTAAACAGTTAACAAGTATGGAAAATGATAAGTGGAAGTAGTGCATTTTCACTTTTAAGAGCTCTTTTGAAAAACTCATTGCCTAAAAAATAATTGACAGCATGTTGCTACCGCTTACTGACGGGGAAATAGGTCTAAGAAGTTATCTCACTTCAGTGTAGTCTTGGGTTGCCTAGTATTATTTTTAAGGATATATCCATGGTGGTTCAATGTACCCATATGTTCAATGTGCCCCGGTCTCCCCTATTTCATTTGTTTTTGTGTAAATTTTGTGTGGTGCAGTCCCCCTGCACTTACTATTAAGTGTGAATTCCGATATTTTGAAAGTGAATTCCGGTGTTTTTAAAGGACCTAAGTCCGTAACTCAAAATCCTCCAAAATCTTCGACATCGAAAACACGAATTATTGGTCAATTTAAATCAACATTGATGATGTAAACTTACCGGGAAAAGATGAGCTTCTGATATCCGATATTTAAGATAAAATAATTTTTTTAACATTGGTACACGAATCGTGTACCATAATGCGCTTCAGTCCCAGTTGTATTGAGAGGGACGAGGCTAGACACATTGCACCAAATCAAATGGAGTTATGTAGACTAGAATAACTAGACGCTAGAAATTTGCACTCGATTGAGATTGCTGACTTATTTCGCCGAACATAACTGATTTGAAATTGGAGTAAAAACGGAAACCATTAAATGTAAATCAGTTTATATACATTCATATACAGTATGCGTTGCGACCCACTTTTGTGAATTTCTAGGTCCGAAATGTTAGCGATTTAGCTCCTTTAAGTACTGGTAATTCATTATTAACATTAATGCAAAATATATGTAAATAGGAAGGCCTTGGGGGCGAATTCTGATATTTTAAAAGCGAATTCCGGTGTTTACATGTTTATAAGTGAATTCCGGTGATAAGTCTACCCGTTAAGAAAGTGCACTCGCGCCCCTAGTCTGTGTATTACTCTGTTTTTCTATGTGAAAGCAGACATTAAATCGAATAGAAAAACACCAAGAAGACATGATACTTGCCACTAACAACCAAAGACCGAAGGATATTATAATCATCCATAGAGGATGTGGTAGGACGAAATAATCGTCAAAATGTTGAAGTCGTGCTCCTCCAACTCTCGCTTTCGGAGCCATTTTAACCTTTGGCGCACTCTGCAACTTCCGTTCGTTTCTATATATAACTCTATACTCTATGGTTCGATGCGAACTCATGATCAGACGATTAGAATGTTTTTATACGCCCACATGGAAATGTGGTCGTATATTGACGTCGCCCCCGTCAGTCCGTCCGTCCGTCCGTCCGTCCATCGTCCACAATTTCTTGTGAACACTCTACAGACTAGGCCTACATTTATCAACCGATTGTTTTGAAATTGATATATGTTGTTTGCATTAGTGAGATGAAGAAGTCTATTTAATTTCAATGACTTCCGTTAATTTCTGGGGGGTTGGATGGCTGAATGGTTAGCGTGAGCGCGCTGTATCATAAAGTCTGTCATTGAGTCGACTGGCGTGGTTTCGAATCCCCAGTTGTACGTGGCAAGGAGTAGGGTCGCCTGTCCAACCTCGTGGGTTTTCTCCGGGGCCTCCGGTTTCCTCCCACTGCTAAAGACCCCTACGCGCAAGCGAATTATTGAAATAAAATTAAACCATATGTTAGTCCCGAAATGACCTAGTTTGTGTCGAGTGGACGTTAAACCCCATTTCTCTCTCCCTCCGTTAATTTCTTCTGGAGTTATGGCCCTTGTTTCACTTTGTTGCACCTTGTGAACGCTCTAAGTCTAACGACCAAAGTTATCAACCGATCTGTATATGAAATTTATAAGCATCATTAATTAGTAAAACAAAGAAACCTATTGAAATTCAGCAATTTCTGTTAATTACATCTAGAGTTATGGCCCTTGTTTCACTTTGTTGAATCTTGTGAACGCTCTAGCTAATGACAAAAGTTATCAACCGATCTGTATGAAATTGATATGCATCATTTAAATTAGTGAAATGAAGAAGCCTATTGAATTTCAGCAATTTCCGTTAATTTCTTCTGGAGTTATGGCCCTTGTTTTACTTTTTTGAACCTAATGAACGCTCTAACGACAAAAGTTATCAACCGATCTGTATGAAATTTATATGCATCATTTAAATTAGTAAAACAAAGAATCCTATTGAATTTCAGCAATTTCCGTTAATTACATTTAGAGTTATGGAACTTGTTTCACTTTGTTGAATCTTGTAAACCCAGTTAACATTGATGGTTAGATTTACGTAAAGTTTACGTCATTATGGTTAGATTTTGGTTAGCGTCCAATAATGGTAAAATACTTTGGTTAAATTTACGTTACTTTTACGTCATAATGGTTATGGTTACTTTTACGTCAGAAAATGACGTAAATGTAACGTAAACTTTATGACGGATTACTAACCAATTTTTTTCCCTTTGAATACTTCCTGATTAAATAACATTACAAGTGTGTGCACATTCTAACAATTGATATATAGTCGGAATTCAGACATAATAATTATATATGTATTATTGGTTATAATTCTAACGTTAATCTAACGTAAATTTTACATCAGGTTTCTAACCGTTAGTTTATGGTTAGTTTTCTGACGTAAATCTAACGTTAGTTTTCTGACGTAAATTTAACGTTAGTTTTCTGACGTAAATCTAACGTTAGTTTTCTGACGTAAATCTAACGTTAGTTTTCTGACGTAAATCTAACGTTAGTTTTCTAACGTTATAATAATGTTAGTTTTCTAACGTTAATGTAATGTTAGTTTTATGTCATAATTTTAACCGTTAATTTAGGGTTAGTTTTCTAACGTAAATCTAATGTTAATTTTATAACATAAATCTAACTTTAGTTTTCTAACATAAATCTAACGTTAGTTTTCTAACATAAACCTGATATTAGTTGTAAAACGTAAAACAAATGTCAGTTTAATGTCATGATACTAACAATTAAGGGCCTGACAAGACAGCTATCTAGTCATTAAAATGGGACAAAAATGGGTAAGACCCCGGCTCGCTAGCCTGGAGGTCGGGTGTTCGATCCCTGCATTGGCCGAGAAAGTTCATCCAGATTTCCGGCGTTTTTTCCCCTTGTCAGTGATGCAGGACGAAGAGCCTGACAAGGACAGCTGTCTAGTTGTTCAGATGGGATAAAAAAAACGAGGTCCCGTGTACACATTGGCATGCATGTAAAAGATCCCTTGACAGTTGGAATTCGATATAAGAGTAGGCCGTAGTGCCACTGTCGGGGCAAAATTCCCCTCATAACACACTGTATGGTGTATGGCCATCTTCATTAGCCCAGTTCGGAGCAGAACAGTTGGACGTTAAACCCCATTTCATTTCATTACATTTTGTATCCATTTCTAAGTGGGGGATCACGTGGCTAAGTGGGTAAGACGCTAGCTCGCTAGCCTGGAGGTCGGGTGTTCGATCCCTGCATTGGCCGAGAACGTTCATCCAGATTTTCCAGCGTGGTTCTCCCTTGTCAGTGATGCAGGACGGAGGGGCTGACAAGGAAAGCTGTCTAGTCGTTCGGATGGGACGAAAAACCGAGGTCCCGTGTACACATTGGCGTGCACGTAAAAGATCCCTTGGCAGTTGGAATTCGATATAAGAGTAGGCCTTAGTGCCGCTGTCCGGGCAAAATTTCCCTCATAGCACACTGTATGGCGTATGCCTGTCTTCATTAGCCCAGGTTAGGAGCAGAAAAGTAGGACGTTAAACTCCATTTCATTTCATTTCATTTCATTTCTAAGTGCCCAAGAATAGAGATCTAGCTCCTTTAATAGTTGCGAACTGTAGGTGACACACAAAGAGAAAACGAATGAATGAATGATCTACTCTCATTCCAATTTCCAAATGTCAAGGGTTCTTTTACGTGCACACCCACGTGATGGACTAGACACTGTTTTTTTGAGGTCCTCTGTCCTACACCACTACTAACAAAGGGAACTTTCTCGACCAACATGGGGATCACGTTGGCTAAGTGAGTAAGACGCTGACTCGCTAGCCTGGAGGTCGGGTGTTCGATCCCTGCATTGGCTGAGAAAGTTCATCCAGATTTTCCTGCGTGTTTTCCCCTTGTCAGTGATACAGGACGGAGGGCCGGACAAGAACAGCTGTCTAGTCAGGGATGAAAAACTGAGGTCACGTGTACACACAGGAGTGCACATGAAAGATCCCTTGGTAGTTGGAACTTGATAGTAGGCCATAGCGCCGCTGCCTGGGCAAAATTTCCTTCATAGCATACTGTATGGCGTATGCTTGTCTTCATTAGCTCAGTTTAGGAGCAGAACAGTGGGACATTAAACCCGATTTCATTTCATTTTTCTCGACCAACACGGAAATTGAACCCCTCATTTGCTAGCCAGTGTGTTACTAATTACTAGAGAGAGAGAGAGAAATGGGGTTTAACGTCTACTCGACACAAACTAGGTCATTTCGGGACTAACATATAGTTTAATTTTTATTTACATAATTCGCTTGCGCGTAGGGGTCTTTAGCAGTGGGAGAAAACCGGAGGTTGGACAAGCGACCCTACTCCTTGTCACGTACAACCGGGGATTCGAAACCACGACAGTCAACTCAATGATAGACTTTATGATACAGCGCCCGCACGCTAACCATTCAGCCATCCACCCCCCCCCCCCCCCCGTTACTAATTACTAAGTTTGTGAAATGTAGGTTTTTCCTCATGTAGATTTGTCCTGATGAAATCGGTTTATTGTCCTACTGTTCTGCTCCGACTGAGCTAATGAAGACAGGTACATACCATACAATGTGCTATGAGGGAAATTTTGCCCCAGCAGCGGCACTATGGCCTACTAATATCGAATCCAACTGCCAAGGGATCTTTTCGTGCAAGCCAATGTATACATGGTACCTCGGTTTTTTGTCCCATCTGAGTGACTAGACTACTGTCCTTGTTCCTGCACCTCTGACAAGGGGAAACCATGTCGGAAAATCCTGATGAACTTTCTCCACCAATGCAGGGATCGAACACGTGCCCTCCGGATTATCGAGCCAGCATCTTACGCACTTAGCCACCGTGGCTTTATCAAAATTAGTAATGAAGATGTGCTATGACAGAAATTTTGCCTGGACAGCAGCATTACCGCACTTACTAATGAAGATGTGCTAGGAAAGACATTTTGCCTGGAGAGCAGCATTTCCGCATATAGTCATTACCAATAGGTGCACTAATCCGTGCATTCACTAGTCCACTAGTCTGACTCTATAAAATACTATAAATATGAGTATTAAAGAAACCCAGTAGATATGGTGACTGATATCACCCTTCGTAAGGCGATAACCCAACATCACGGCATTTTAACCCGAAATCACAACATTTTAACCATTATAGCATATGCCCTTCTTCATTAGCCCACTTGGAATAAAATAGTAGGATGTTCAAACCCCATTTAAAATTCATTTTCATACTTTTCTGCACCAGTCGGACTATTGAAGACAGTCATACGCAATGCAGAGTGCTATGACGGAAATTTTCTATGGACTGTGGCAGGGCGGAGGATCTGGCAAGGGATAAGGTATAGTTGTTCGAGTCATACGAAAAATCAAGTCCTCATGTACATATTGACATGCACGTAAAAGACACTCCGACAGTTGTAATTCAATATCAGAGTAGGCCATATAGTGCCGCTATCCGTGCAAAGTTTCCGTCATAGTACACTGTATATAGTGTATGCCTGTCTTCATTAGCTCACTCAGAGCTTAAATCAATGTGTGTTGTTAATGTCATTTAAAATGGCGGCTGTCTACATATACAATATATAAAATAGGTCATGAGTCGATTGGTGCCGTTTTTTTATTTCGAATTTAAAAGTTCAACACTTAATTATATAAGTTGTAAAACCATATAAAAATAAAGGTTGGACCAAGACTAGTTCCATTTTTTTAAGTTATGAATCTGAAAAATAGATAATAATGACCCAGTCAATTAACATAGAGATCTACTCTAGCTATATAAGTCCATATATTTATCGTCTCTCGATAAAAGACCTATCTCTGAAAATTAAAATTCCCCGATTTGATTATTCTTTTAATATAACATAATTATGTAACCTCATATAAAATATGGTAGAGCGTATACAAACAAATTATATGAATAGATTCATTATCAGAAATATTACAGGCCTTTCAAACGAAC